TAAATACATTTTGCAGGGCAAGAATTATCATCCAAAACCAGTTTTTCTCTGGGCACTAAAAATAAAAATTACAGATACACAAAATAAGCACATATGTGGATGGAAAATAAAAGTCTTCATGTTCTTATTATAAGCAATTTCAATTTAATACAAGAAAGGTGGATTTTAGGAATCATCACCTAAGTAATCTAACATCAAAAACTCACCAATCGTGATTATAATACACCAGCAGAAGCCATGTGACTACCTTAATAGAAGTATTCAGTGAAAACTGGTCTATTCTCTCAAGCACCTCGATTTCCCTACTCCTCCCAAATTGGAATGTAACTTCCTAGATTTTTAATTTTATCAGCCGACCAAAACAACCAATGACTCTGCCCTAGTATTTGTCACAATGATTGACCAAAAGGACATCTAATGTCTAAATCAAGTGACCATTGTTTCTTTTCACATTTGCTCATTACCTGGTTTATTATTCTTATCTCAGTCACCTTTCAGCCTGAGTCTATGGCCTATGTTAATGCTAGTCTTCAGCCTTCTCTAAGGAATTAGAAAAAAAAAAAACAAAACCAAAAACCTACCATCTCATAGTCATTTAGTCGATGTTCTTCTTTAAGACAGAGATTAACCCAACGCACTGTTTTAAGTAACATAAAATTCAAGTAGAAACCAAACCCCGGTCTAGCAGAGAAATAGACACACACCTCTGGTGGAAGATAATAGATGATAGCCACAAAAAGCCTTGCAACTGTGTAGACACTCTGACTTATTAATTCCTCTTCTAGAAAAGAGTTGAAAGAAAAGGTACACAAAGATAAAATGATAAGGATGTTCATGACAGAGTGGTTTATAATTGTATAATTAAAAATCTGGAGGGGCACCTGGATGGCTCAGTCAGTTAAGCGTCCGACTTTGGCTCAAGTCATGATCTTGAGGTTTGTGACTTTGAGCCCCATGTCGGGCTCTGTGCTGACTCTCAGAGCCTGGAGCCTGCTTTGGATTCTGCATCTCCCTCTCTCCCTGCACCTCCCCCACTCATGCTCATTCTCTCTCTCTCTCTCTCTCTCTCTCTCTCTCTCAAAATAATAAACATTAAAAAATGTTTTTAATTAGAAAAAAAGAAAAGAAAATGTGAAAACAAATTAAACATCCATCAAGAGAGTATTTTGTTGTATGGATAAAAATACAATGCAATCCTTAAAAATCATGTTGTAGAACAATATCTCATGGCATGGGACTACATTCACAATATATGGTTAAGAGAAAAAGGCTATGGAAATAACTATGTGGTTGTTGCTCCTTATGTGCATTTAAGAGTACATATTTATTTGGAAATAAGATTGTAAGAAATTTTTAAATGTCACCAGTGATTTATCTGTAGTTGGTGGAATTGCAGGTGATCTGGATTTTCTTATTGGAATTTTCTCTTACTCTTGTTCCTCTGCTATCTCCAGGACAACATGCCTGGGCTAGCGTGTTGCAAGATGACAGGTGGTGCATAAAGCAGAGCTTAGTTGCCCCATTTCCCCATCTAAGACCGTTAGCTGGTCCTCGATAGGTAAGTGAGCCCACCTAGTATGAGCCACAGAAGAACCACACCTGAGTAGACCCACAACTGCCCACAGACAGACAAGTGAGATCACCTGAAAGTAGCCAAATTGGCTGAACTTTTCAGGCTCCCAAGCTAAGAGACGTGCTTTGTTGTTTGCCATTGGCATTTTGTGGTCACCTACTACCCTGCATCACTGTCGCGATAGATAACGGATAGAGCTAGAGCTTGTCAGGGTTTGGGGAACTGGAATCAAAAGGCAACAACCACCTGAGATTCAGTCCAAAGGTGCTTGAGTATAGAGCTTGTTAGAAAACATTTTTGAACAGGCTAGACCGGCAGAAAGTTCAACATCAATCTAAAAATAGAACTGCCGTTCTCACATGTGCGAGGCATTATGCTATGGTGTGGGTGGGTCACAAGTGGAAGGACATGTAGGCCCTACCTCCTGGAGCTCACAACCGCAATAGCAGGAATTTCCGGACCCAGATGCCGCTCTCAGAGAGTTAGCAGCAATTGTATTAGTACACTACAGCACCAAAGAGCTTCAATTTGCTGAAGTTGGTTAAAAATGCATTAGCTCTTCTCCAACATGATTCTGAAAGCACAGTAAAATCAAAAAGTCTGTTCAGCTGCCCGATGAACTTGAAGTAATGAGGTCTATAAGCTGACTTGAACAGAAGAAAATGATATTAAGCTTTCATGGAGGACAAATGAAAGTATCTACCTGTAACCTTGCTGACAGCCAGAGACCCTTTGCCATTTAAAACTCTGCTGCTGTGGTGCATTATTCCCAGGCAGCTGAGAGTTTAATAAGACTTCGCAGAGACACCTAACCTTCCGGTCCCCGGCTGCCTGCTGGCAACCCTAAGGCACTCACTGTGGAAGCTGACAATCCGAGCTAACATCAGGGCACGGATTTCCTCAGACACAGGGGCACAGGTTGGCATAGCAATGTCTGCCTGCTGCCCCGCTGTGCATGCAAATCGCACAATGGTCTGGTTCCAAGCTGGTCATGGTGCCCAGCACCCCTGGGTGTTTGATCTTGGAGATTGTGGTGGTCACCGCTCTTCATCATTGCACTAACCTGGCTCCCCTGCTGAATGAAGAGCTGCCATTTAGTGTGATATACAAGGCTTTCCTTGAGCAAAGCCCAACCTGCCTGGTCCAGCCTTAACTCCCAGTATTCTTCGTATCACACCCTCCACCCCCTGCACTCTGGTTACTCGGCTTAGGTATTTGCTGTTCCTGCTTTTCCCACCTTTGTGCTTTGTTCAGACTGTGACTTTCATCGTCTCCAGCCAGCCCACTCTTCCACCTTCCAATTCTGGCTTTGCTTCACAGGTCTCTCCCCAACTAGACTGTAAAAATAGTAGTGATACTTACATAACATGCAATGTGCCAGGAACTTTGCTAGGCACCTTGCCCATCTTAACTCATTTTATTCTGTTCAACAACTCTAGGAGATGAGTGTTATTACTATTATTATCATCACCATCATCCCAATTCTCAGATGAAGAAAGTGAGGCTAAAGCAAACTGCTCAAAGTCAGAATCAGCTCCACAGGTTTGGAGATCATGTGTGTCTTGTTCACTGTTGTATTACTAGCGCTTCGCATGAAACCTGGCCCATAGTATTGAGTGAAGGAATGAATAAAATGCCACCATGAAGCTGTGTCTGCAGTCAGAATTAATCTTCCTCTCCTCTCCTTTCACAGGTCTGCTCCAGTACTTAACACGTAAGTACCTAACACATAACCTCGTAAGGTTGGACCCCCATTTCCAAATAATCTGCACTTTCACACTTCTCTGTACATCCACACCTAACCCTCCTTTGCTTGGGAGAAGTCAGGCTTTCATAGATAAGGTAGTTTCCAGCTCTGGTGTTGCCTGAGAGCAGCTGCTGCTGAGAGATGAAATTAGGAGTCCATGGGGGAGGTGGAAGAAAGACCGTTGGCGGTAGTTGGAGGCTGTGTGGCCAGTCCTCTACCCTGAAGAAGCACAAGGCTGCTCCCCTCTGCAGTGAAAGGGCTCCAAGAGCTTGCTGGCGCATTTAGAACTCCTATCCAAGAGGAGTGTCCCTTGCCAACCTCCCCTTCTGTGCCTCCCACACTTTGGCTTCATCACCGTAGCAGGGGAAGTTATGGAGGTCACGGAGGAACAGGGGGCGATGGATTGCAGCCAGGAGACTCAACAGGAAGTGGAGAGCATAAATGATGGTGATCCCATACAGGACCTGGGGTCTGATCCAATTGTATTGGTAAAAGCACTGAGTCCCCTTAGGTCAAGACCTTATGGGGTTTAAAGATCAGGTGTCATTGTCATTGGCCCTCTCCGCAATTCAAGAGGAACCAAAGCAGGGCTTGAGTGGGGAGCCCTAGTTCTGGCTTAACTCCCTCCATGAATAGCTGTTGGCAGCTGAGGGCTAAAGCTGTCTGTAGACGTCAGACTCCGTAGGGTGGTTTCTCACTTCTGGCAGGGGGCACCTGAGACTGAAGGAATCGTTTTAAAGGATTTTGTAATTATTGACTCTCAGCTATCTAGAAAGAGAACTCCCTTCTGCTTTTAGACATTCCATCTTCAAATGCATTTTCTGCTTTGTGGAGCACCTATATTTATTTACATCCTTCCATCTCTAGATTGTAAGCTCCAGAAGAGAGGAGCATGACCATACTCATATTTCTCTTCTGCCTGCTCCTTTCCCTCTGCAAACTGCAAGAGGCTTGTTGTACAAAATTTTAAATCTATGTAATTTAATTGTATGTCATTATAAGCAAGTGTCATTGCCAAAATAGACTAACTCTGGCCATATATTTTGTTGAGCTTTCTGGCTTTCCAAAGGTCTTTGGAGCCAGGGCCTAAATTCCAACTTGCTGGAGGAGGGCATGCTGAAATACAACCCGTGCTCCCTGTGAAAGGCATCCATACGTTTATTGGAAAGCATCTAAAATGCCACAGAATCTGCCACTACTCATCAATACTGAGACTCCCCCCACCCCTTTTCTTTTTTAACAGAATGAAGAAAACAAGGTGATTTAAAGCCATAGTTAAAATTCAACAGTGAGGGGCGCCTGGGTGGCTCAGCGATTAAGGGTCCAACTTCAGCTCAGGTCATGATCTTGAGGTTCGTGAGTTCAAGCCCTGTGTCGGGCTCTGTGCTGACAGCTCAGAGCCTGGAGCCTGCTTCGGATTCTGTGTCTCCCTCACTCTCTGCCCCTCCCCTGCTCATGCTCTGTCTCTCTCTCCTTCAAAAATAAATAAACATTAAAAAAAGTTAAATTTAACAGTGAGATAGATGTCCCTTAAAAGACAGACATTGCTGTTAACACGCTCATCAGAGAGAGAGTCACATGCCGCCAGTGATGGTTTCCAAAACTTAAGTTTAAAAAAGAGAAAAAAAAATTCTGATATTGATGACGGTAGATGGAGAGATACAAGAGTAAGACAAGTGATCATTTCAAATGCATAATTACATTTTATCTCAGTAATAATTAATTGCAGTGTACTTAAGCACATACTCAGTTTCCTTCAGAAAGAATAAATAGAAGATAAAGTTGATTTACAGAGCATTTTCACATAAAATCTCATTTATTCCTCACAACAATGCTTTTGTTTAGATAGTTCCATCCTCATTTTACATAGGAGGAAACTAGATGATCATTCCACCACCCACCTAGTAACCACATCATTAAACAGTATAGACAGTTATAAAGGGAATGGGATCTGAACAAACAGAAATGTACTCAAATTCTGGCCTTTCCATTTATTGGTCATGTGACTTAGGCAAGTTGGTAAAATCTGAACCCAAAACTAGATTTAGCAACTTAAAATCCTTTGATACAATACCAAAAGGGTAAGGAAGACTTGGAAGACTTGAGGAACAGAAAGGGGATGGAAACATATGCACACTTTTTTTTCTTTTTTGGCCAAATGAGACATTTCACCATTATGGGCCTATCTACCTTTTGTAATTATTATAGAGTCTAAAAATACTTAAAAAAGAAGTGACCCACTCTTATGAACCCTTCGTGATATTTTGGTGGTGCTGGTATCCTATTAACTTATAATATCTCTATATATGCTGCCTCTGTGATAAAGCAACCTGAGGCTGGGCAGGGAATGGGCTAAGCCCCATCAGTTGAAGAGCCCATCTGGGCCTGATCCAAAAACAAAAAGCTGGAAGGGTCACTGGGCAGGCGTTGGGCTAGCAAGCTGGGTCCAACCCAGGAGACAGGGCTATTTTGATAGAAGCTCCACCCTAAGGAGAAAACAACCCATGGGTCAGATACAGCTGGAAAGCTGCCACAGCTGGAAAGCTGCCACCACACCCAACCAGTGAAACTGTTGCTGGAACCAAGAAATCAAGTATATAAGTTAACTACTGCCACAAAAATGCTCTGTAACAAACAACCCCAAAACTCAGTAGCTAAAAACAATAATACTGTATTCTATTCTGGACCTGCAGCTCTGCTTCATTCTGCAAGTCTCTGGGTCTGGGTCTTCTCCCGGGACTTTCATCCTCCTTGAATTAGAGGGCTTGTCACAGCATGTTCTTTTCAAGACAATGGCAGAGGTACAAGAGGTAAAGAAGAAACACCAAAAGCCTCTTAAGGCCTTGACTATGAATTGGCCCCATCACTTCAGCTCTATTTCATGGATCAGAGCAGGAGGCCAAGTGCAAAGTCACAAGGCCCGGTAGTAGTTACACTCTGTCTGTGATAGAGCCATGATAATTATACAATGCAGGGAGATACAAAGAACTTGGATCAGGAACTCAATCAATGACTGTCCACCTGCTTGGCTACATTATTCACATCTCTCCAATATGAAAACAGCCCATCCCCATCAAAGGACACCACAAGTCTCACCCAATCATGTATCAGGCTCAACATTTAGGACTTCATGATTTACATCTGGTCCAGATATGAATTGGACCTATAAACTGAGAAGACAAATCACAGGCCCCATCCCCTTTCCACACCCACACAATATGCATTGGTATAACAGAGACAGGAAAATCACAGTAAACACCTCATTCAAAATGAAGAAACTTGTTCCTTAGTGATTCTGAAATCCTTCTAGGCAAATTAGCCAAGTTTCCCTGCCAAAGGAGGAGGATATGTTTCTTCATCAGACCTTGGTCCTGCTCCCAGGGGAAGGGAAGGTGAGCTGGGGGTGGGGTGGAGTCTGGTAGTGTAGGAGGAGGATCTTTGGTCCATTGTTCTCTACAGCTCCTAGCTCTGTCCTCTGAGACTTCCTTTTCCATCATCTTCCTCATTTGCTTCTGAAGAGGACACTGAAACTTCTACTTCTTTTGGGTGGCTAAGTTTTCCTAGCCCATTTCCTACATAGAAAACGGGGCTCAGGGGTCTTTTTTCCCCTCTCAAACAGTTTCAGTCTCATTTAGTTCAGGCTATTAGTACTTAAGGTGGTGTCAGTTTTTCTACAACTTAGTGGGTTTTCTATGTATTTGATTCTAGTCCATTCTATGTGTCAAAACCACAGTTATTTTCAAGACAGGCTTTTCTCTCCAGATTTAATTACTAGCACTTTGGGCATGTCAGGTGGCTGCACTACTATACCTTTCAGCTTTGCAGGAGGTTTAAAAGTCATTTTGTAATAGTTTGTAATATTATTAGCCACACCCCTGATTGGGTCCTTACCCTGAGGCCATGTTTTCCTGCAAGCCCCCTAGATTTGGTCTTTGTCTCTCTTTATGTGATTCAACAACCAACCCCTGGACTTGATCACTGTCCCCAGGCTACATTTTAATTTGAGAATCTTTTTCTGGTTGGAGAGGCTGAAGATTAAAAAGTTTTATTTTTTAACGCAGCAACTTCTGGGCTGCTTGCAAACTGCGTTTTATTTTGTTTGGTTCTGAGCATATCTCCTTTCTCATAGTATTTTCCTATATGCATTTAAAAGAAAACAACTCATTCTTTCAGAATTTTTCTTGGAAACAAGTTTCTCCTCTCTCCCCTACCCTTTCATTTGCTGCTCACTACTCTGCATGCCTATACCATGCAACCACTCAGTGGGTGGGAAAATCCTAGTATTTAGATTTGCGTACATAGAATATCCCACTTGGACCTTAACGTCAAATTTGTCTTTACTAAACAACTCTTTCAGAATTCTACTAAGTGACAGCAAGAGTTGGCTCAGCCCTAAAAAAGAACTTAGAATTTTTTAATTGCACTATGTTTAGACCTCTTCTTGGAACCATACAGAGGAAGAAATAATAGAGCAGGATTTGGATATTTCTATTTTGGATTTTCAAAATCTTACCTTTGTCCCTTGGAATGCCCACAGATGCAAATTCTACTGGTCTGGAAGTATCTGGAACAGAACTATACCAATTCTTAACCCCAATAAGTGGTGGAGTTATGGAATGCCAGCTATTTGGTAGAGGCATTAGGTTATAGAATGGTTTCGTTCCATGAAAAGCAATACACAGTTCACTTCAGTTTTCATGAATAAAAGTTTCCTCCAAAAAGAGCTAACTGCCAATTTTTTTCCACAAAGCCTCTAGATAGTTTATGATAGTGCTTAGGTCTATTAGTGGACATATTAACTATCTGTGACTCATCACCCTCCACTGCAGAGCCAGGAAATTCAAGGCTGTAGACACTACAGACTTTTGCAAGTGCAAGGGTGCACTCCTCTCTTTATCCCACTGGTGGCAACAAGTCAAAATACGTAGCCTGTCTCCACTAAAGATAGAGCTAAGCTTCTTACCGCTGGAAATACCTGCATAAATTCAGCTTCTGCATGAGGCAAATGGACCAGGACTTCCTAGAATATAGGGCAACAGAGTTGGCTTTGGTGTTTAACTTTCCACAGTCTGTAGATCTAAGTGGGGACTCAGCTTCTGGTGGACCCAGCCCTTCCATAGGTTCATGGAGGCTACAGACTAGCTGGTCAATTCATTGCAAAGAGGATTAGTCAGCCACTCCTCAAACTAGACAAAGAGGAGGTCTTATTCCAACCCAAAGGCTCAGGCAGAAGGTCCTAACATATTGCTTTATAGCTCCCATATCAAACTTGGTATAACTAGTGTGCTTAGAATTTAATCTCCCTTGATGAGCAGATACAATTTCCTTATAATGTCCTCCTCTGGGCCTAGCAGGAGGCCCTAGCTATAGAGGCAGGGTACTGTCCACCTCCAGGCCTGCCCTGGGAGTCAGCATAGTCAGAGAAGTCTTTGGCCCCAGTCCCCCAGAAGCAGGTGTATCACCTCAGGTTCTGCTGAAAGAAGCACATTTAGGCTTTAGGCTTTAGGCCTAGGATAACCAGGCAGAGGCAGTCAGAAGAGAAATGCTTTTGAGACAACATCATGGTCATGACTTGCATAGTTTTCTGTGTGTTAAGATTGCTCTATGCATTTTATGTCTATTCATACATTTCCTTTCACAGCAACTTCTACTCTATAGATGGAAAAAAGCCCTGGCTCAGAGAAGTTAAGTGACTTGCCTCAGGTCTCCCAATGAGTCGTCGGCAGTACCAGGACCTGAAGGCAGGCATCGTGTTTCCACAGTCCCACTGCTATGCCCTGGTGTATGTTGAGCGGCCTGCCCTGAACATGGGGTCTTTACCAGCAGGTAGGGTTTGCCAGCCAGGCAGGATTCTCAGCCTTGAGGACAGAGATGTTAGTTGACTGCTCCTTCATCCGTTTTCCTGAGCACATTCTATCTGGAAATTTGAAAGGCTATATTCTCACATGGACAGAGGCTCCCCTCTGTCCTCTTCTTGGAAAAGGCCTTTTCCCTAAGAGCCTCTTCTTGGAAGGAGATTGAAGTTTCCTCTGCAGACAGAGCCAACCCAAATGTTTGTCCTCAGGACCAATTTGAACTGCCCAAGTGCACAAAGACTTCAGTGGAAATTCCGGACTTCTGCAGCTTAGAACATGGCAGAGATGAATTCAGTCTGGAAATTTCAGTGTCTTACCCATGGACTCTATCTAACTTGGAAGAGCACTGGCTATTCCACCAACAGGAATTAGCTGCAAGTGATCTAATTAGTCTACCACCTGGGGGCTTAGATCAAACACTCGAATTGTGGGTAAAGTCTTTCAAATACAATTGTAGTCATTTTATTGTTGATTCTAAGAAGTAACAGGAAAATGGGATCGATTACTTCTTGAGACATTTTGTAGGCTGTGAATATAAAATCATAGCGGCGAGACAAAGAGGCAAAGTTTTTCTGAAAGGCTATGGAGTAAATTCTGTTAGAAGAAAAAGAGGAAGCCTTAGTTTCCACTGTTTGATACCATTTAGAAGTAAATATGATGCAGTGAGAGAGTAGTCATAGTCACTCTGGCTCATGGCGTGGTTCTGAAAGGCAGGCTCTGTCAAAGCACGAAGAGTTTCGAACCTTTGCTGAACTCACACAGTTTAGCCCCAAACTTGGTATCTGCCCCACGCTTCTAATCTGCACCTATTCTGACCTTCGGTGAACAGCACTGTGAATACAAGAACCCTGAAGTCGACCCCACCTCCCCCCTACTGTCGCATGCCTATTTCCATTCTCAAAATCCTAATAATCCATTCATTGATGTTAATGCAGCTGGAAACCATTCTGCTCTCTCCATATAGCACCACCATATTCAGGTTCGCATAATCCTGCAACTGGATTTCCCAAGCAGCCTCCTAACAAGGAGCCCCGTCTCCAGTGTTCTCTTGCTCACTCCATTCTCTGTGTTGCTGCTGGTGTGATCTTTCTGAAATGTAAAAGGGACTCTACGGTCTAAAACTCTTCACTTGGCCCCTACAGGTACACGTTCCTTAGCCTGTGTACACAGTGCTACTCATCTGCTGTGGCTACCTTCACACCAGCATGTGGTTACTCCAGCTAATTCAACTAGCAATAGGTCCAAGATGCTGAATTGCTTTCTCTTCTCTCTTCAAGCTTTGTTTTCTGTTGCGATGTGCTTGGAATGCCCTTTCCCTGATCCCATACTCCCAAGAGAGACATGGAGAGAGAGCGAGAGTGGGTACTGGAGATGGATGTGCGTTAGAACACTTATGTGGAAGGACACCCCCTGAAACTGCTCATGGGAATCCCTATGGAATGGGGTTTCAGGGAGGCGTTAAGGGAGTGGTATTGTAGGATGTACTTTTTGCTGTCCTATAATGCTGAGAATTTTTTTATTGTGAGTATGCTTAACTTAATCTTATATTTTTCACTATGTTTCCCATCCTCACCTTCAGAGATACTGATTTAATAGGGAAGCATCCAGGATTCTGATCTTCCACAGCCTCCCACCTCCACTTAATCAGGTTTTGGAATCATGGTTGAAATGATTATTTCCAGTATAAGGCAACTGACACCTTTGAGAAGAACCCCAACTCTAATATACAATAATTTTTTTTATTATTTCCTTTTATTTTATAGTAGCTTAATTCCACTACCAATACACATACTCAATCTCTACTATGCTTGAATTATATGGAAGAATTATAATAGCCTTGACAGCCATCTAAATAGCCACATTTGAATAAAGGGCCTAAATAATCATTGTAAAGCACGTATTTGCACAGTAAGTTTCATAAACCATTTTAAAATTAAGGCAAACAAGAAAAAAAATCTACAAATACAAATATCAGGGTTTCTTAAATGCTAAATTGTTTTTTTAAATCTTAAATCTTAACACTAACTTGAAGACCATTTGATTGGCTCTCAAAACAATGGATATTCTAAAAGCATAAAACAGGAAGTTGTTACAAATAGCAGCTTTGGTATAACATATACCTATCTCCCTACATGTTTTCAAGTTTTTGACTTTGGAAAAATATAAACACGTAACTTTTTATAATTAACTTTTGAAAATATTAATAATACCTTAAAATTCAGACATTAGAGCATCTATTTCTTTAAACTTGTTAGTTATGTTTTCAATACATTCTCCAGCTTTTAATTTTATCCCATCAATTATAAGACAGTCTTCTTCATAGTGGTTTTCAAATGGGCCGCCTGCAGGAACTTCAGGGCTGCATTCAGATAACTGTAAAAATAACCATACAATTCATCAGAACGATATCAAATTTACTGGAACACCGGCTTAATTATTTGAACCAAATGTAAAGTAGTCAGTAACTCCACAAGCCACAGCAGTTACCCAAAGTGTTCTGTTATGCTGGTGGTCAAATAATGATCCCCATGTAGAGTATAATGTACAAGAAATGTGTTCATATAAGAATAACTTATTATTCAGGTCGTATTTCTTTCCCCCAATATTATACATTTTTAGGTTTAATATTACGTGTTGGAAAAACATGATCAGTTTCATTCTATGACTTTTCTATATTTATTTATTTTTATAATTATTATTATAGGGAATACAGCTTAAAACTGTTTGAGTCACACCTTCTATGCCTATCTTCTCCTAAGCCTCTGCATGACTTACAAATAGTGATAGCTTGATCTAGCTCAGTGGGAAGAGACACAAGTAAAAACAGTGCAGATATACATAAACACATACAAGATTTATAACTTCAAGATTCATTAAAGGTAGAGATAACTTCCATGAAATTAAGAAAAAAAAATACATGTAATTTATACAAGTATTTTCATGTAACATCAAAAACTGTACCTTTTAATACAAATAATTATTCAACAAACTCTGTTTTATTTGTATATGGCTTATCTAATTTGTGAATTATTCTGGAAGATTTTATAAAAATCTGATATTAATTTCCTCTTCTTGCTTACAAAGTTGGGGCATGAAAACCAGTGTTAATATTAGCTAAGGAAGAGCATAATTAGGAAGGTGACTCTACTGAGGAAAATATTCTCATAAAACATTTCAATGACAAATAGAAACGAATTTTGATTATCCATATGTGTATGCTTTCTTTTTTATGTTGTCACTCTCGCTCATTGGTATAAATGCTTGAGAGTTATCAACCTCAAACCTGATACATGAAATGAAGAATGAAAACATCATCAAATTTACAACTTTGAAAATAGCTTAACCAAATCTGCTCAGAGAATAAACATGCTTAGCACCTTAAAATTATCAGGTGGCTCTTTTTGGTGTGTTAGCTTATAAGAGGCCACTTTCTCCTACAAATAAAACACAGCTCCAGGGTTAAGCAATATTAACTTTGGAAGCCATATTAATTTTCCCTATTAACTTGAATGAATGAATGAATGAATGAATGAATGAATCAAAGAAGAAAGAAAGAAAGAAAGAAAGAAAGAAAGAAAGAAAGAAAGAAAGAAGAAAAAAAAAGAAACCCTTGTGGTGATCATTTCTTTTCTTTTAAACTGAAAATTGTCCCAGCTTTGATAGTTGGTTTCATTGCTATTCTTCTCATTTAAAAGTGAACAAGGCCCTAAATATACAGAACCTGGTGTGAATGCCAGACTTAACAAAGCTCAGTGTGGAGAATGGCTTATGAACCAGTCTGCAGGAGGCACTCACCTGCCTGCCAGCAAGTTAAGATGGTTAATTTTTATAATTCTTAAGTGGCTTTTGAAAGCATAAAATATTACAAGAATCTAAAACAAAAAGCAAGCTCCTGCCTGGTGATATATTAAAACTATGTATTTTACCTTAAGGAATAAAAATCCAAAGTAATTTTCTGTTCTATCAAGTTACTAGTTATAATGGTAAAATAGAAGCCAATTCTGTGGCTGTAAAAGCTCCAGGACATCTCTATAAAAAATCAACCTGGCTGTATTTTTGAGAAGAGAAACTGCAAACACTGAAAACGTGTTGCACAAAACCATATGGTGCTCAAACAAAGCACACATTTGCTGGAAAAGACTAATTGTATATTAATTATATGTCTATAACATATATGTTGCTAATCTACAGATCCTGTTTGACAAAAGGTAAGATCTATAGAAAGAAAAAAAAATTTTTTTTTTCAAAAAGGAACTCTAATTGGAAAAATGGCATTCACAACGGTACAAATTCAGGCACAAGTTGATATTGCTGGTGCTACTTAAGAAAACTATGGTTTTCAATGTGGTAAGAGTTTTTAGCATTAATTTTATTTCCTTTTGGTGTATTGCTCTCTTTAACTGTAAATCTTGTATATTTTGATTTCCAACTCGGTAAAGGAGGTGTTTACGAATCATCTTTATTCTTGTTGAAGTTCTGAATGAAATCATGCAATTGGGCAGTCTGCCAAAGTGGGTAAACAACCTTGTCCACGTATAAATCCACCTTTTCCAGCATCTGAGAAGAGACAGACTCGGGAATGGGCAGTTGCTCAACAGGAGAATGTGGGAAAAGAGAGGAAGTAAGGAAGTCTCAGCACTTAATCTCTCCAGGGACTGCCATTGCCAATTCTCATCTGTAATAACAGCTAACCTTGGGTGTCAGTTACTATGCAAAATACTTTTCCCAGTTTGCCTTATTTAACCCACAAAGAAATCCTCTTGGGCAAGTGATAAGCAACTGTGCCAAATTACACAAGTCCTCCCTGGCAGGACTGGGCTTAGGACATTGGTATTATATTCCAGAGTAAGAACTCCCAACCAACTCCCAACTTCCAAGTCCAGTGTTCTCTGGACTCCAGGCACAGCATATATCTAAATGAATGAATGAGAGAATGAATGAAACCTTAAGGATACATGACTTCTTGCTGCCATTTTTCTTCCTATCTGGAGAACAGCTGTACTGCCTTGAAGAAGTGTCTGCCTTATGACTTATTTTTCTCATACCTACCACACTGCTGCTCTGTATTAATGACCTAGGCTTGTACCCTCATTTTATTTGCACAAACATGGAGCTGATGTGCTGGGAAGTTTGGTAATTTATGTTATCACATATAAGAACTGAATAAAGTAAGCATGCATGGCCTTTCTCAGTCCAACATAGCTAGCCAAAAGGAAAAAAAAAAAAGACAAATCTAGTTATGAATGGTGAAAAGTATTCCAATGAAAAATTCTACCTCCGGTGTGTTAATAATGAGGTTTGTCCCTACAGAAGTTGTCTCTGTGCATGAACCAGGCAGGGCAGATTTCCTAGCAAGCTGCTCTTATCCAGCCTCCTCTCCTGACTGTGAAATTGGCAGCGGTAGGCAGTTCTCTCTACGGTGGCACCCGACTGACTACTGTGAGCTCCTTCCACTCTTTCTTCATCCCAACCTCAAAGATCCAAAAAACAAAGGGCTCCTCCACACTCACAGATTTTTTTTTTCAAAAACTGATAGTTGTATTCTGACCTTTCAACAGGTTACTAGTTTATTCACTTCAGGATAATCAAGGGCTCAAATTTCAGAAGGGAAAAATGTTTTTCATATAACTAAAACGTACAGCCAGGAACAATTTCTGCCATTGACAGAATCTGGACTTGCTATTTAGGCCTGATAATGATTACCGGTGCTACCTTTTCTCCTGTATTCACTTCTTCTCCACGCTCCTCTTCAGACTCATCAGGCGCTCCTGTGGGCTCTAGTGCCTGCTGTAGCATTTGCTCCAGCTCTTTTAGTAAAACTTCTGTCTCAGAGACAACTAAAAATCATCATTAATATAATAGAAAAAATGTTACATTTTAATTAATTCAATCTAATCCATAATCTTAACCAACTCAAAAGAGAAAATCTAAGTGTTACAAGACAAAAAACAAATATTTTGTATAGTTCTCACATATGGCCTCTGCTTAATGCAAAATAATTAAGGATTTCCAGGTGAATATTTTCCAATTATTCCTGTCAAAATGTAGGTGATATTCTTGCTATGTGTAGATCATAAAAAGCTCACTAGAAGTGTCTTGTTTTGCTTTTTTTTTTTTTTTAAATCAGGGCCAAACTAAATTGTTTTTTATAAACCAGAGGTCAGCAAACTTTTCCCATGAATGGACACAGAGTAAATATTGCAGGCTTTGTGGTCTCTGTCACAACAACTTCATTCTGCTGCTATAGTGCAGACCATACACATGTACCTAAATAAATGAGAGTGACTATGTTCCGATAAAACCTTATTTACAAAAACTAGTGGCCTGTGGGCCAGTTTGCCATGCCTACAATAAACTATTAAAACTACTGTTTAAAAGGAGAGACGATGTAATTAAGTGGTCAAGCTAAACACAGGCTAGTCTACTCCTAATCCGAATACCAACACATCTTAATTGCCTAATATATGTATTATATATATGTGTGTGTGTGTATATATATATATATATACATATATATATATATATATTTAAATACCACACTTACAAAATTTGTGTGTGTGTGTGTACTACTATGACATGAATTCACTGAATTTGCGGACATAAAATAATATCCCCACAAAAGAAATGAACTCCTATTAAATAACTCTATAGACTCAACTACTGATTAATAACATGCAGTTGGATTCCTGACTTAAATAAAATAAACATTTCTGTTTCATATAGACTTGTTGAAGTAAAAATCAAGGAAAGGAAGCCACATGTGGCCTGCTGTCCTGCACAACAGACAGATGGAACATCTGAGAAGTCGTTCCAAAGGCAACACAATTCAAAGCGAAAGGCCATGAATACACACCCCATTATTTTCCACTCGGGTGACAAAAACTGGACATAGTACCCTCTATTATCCACCATTCTTTGGCAGGACACCAAAAATCCCACTACGTAGAACATCTAAAAGTTCAAGGAACACGAAAACAGACCCACACAGGACATATGCTTTGGAGCTAACCTATTATCAGTGAATATGCAAGCAGGGCATTCTCAGCACTAACATTCAGTTTTAATCTAATTGTTGAACATATTTAAAATTCTTCTAACTAATCATGTTTAGGAAGATTGCATATGTATATGCATCCCTTTATGTGTGTGTGTGTGAACACACACACACACACACACAGAAGTATCCTTGTAAACTAAGCATGTTTAAAGGTAAAAACCAGAGATTATTAATGTGAAAAGTCTTATGTACTGTTTCCTCCAGTTCAAAAGAATCCATGTTTTATTAGAATCTTCTTTGTTGGTAATTTCCTCTTATCTAGTACTCGTAAGAAAGAAAGTTTAAAATTCTGCTAGAACGTTATTAAATAATAGTGTCAAAGTCATGGGAGGTTATGAAATAGAATATTTTCCCTTTGTTGGTTGTCACTACAGTATTAAAAAACAACTTTTAGTTAACATTTTTCACATCACAGTTTTGTCTACAAAAATAATTTTTCTGTCAGTACTTATCACTTGTCCCAAGTACTTTTTTACTCAGTCAACAAATATCAATTATGTGCCTACAAAGGGCAAGGGACTCAAGAGCAGGCATTGACCAACGAGCCTTCCTGGCCATCATCTCTTCCTAGCCAATCTCAGGTTTTCTCTATGGAAGACTTCTTTCCAAACAGTTTGAAAGTAGCTTTCTGATATGCCACTTGCACACCTTAGAATCAGCTCCTATGTTTAAAAACAAAACAAAAACTGTAGCTGACATGTTAGTTGTGTCCACATAGATATGTGTTCTGTGGTAATTGGTAAAGCGTAAGAACACAGAGTTTTAATCATTGCATTCTAAAACAGTGCTATTCAAAATTTGATGGGCATAAGAATCACTGGGAGAATTTACTAAAAAAATACATGAATGCAACCCATGTTTACCGAATCAGGATTTTTCTAGAGGAATGTACATTTTTATTGAAGCTATTTTGTTTAACGAATTGACTTCTCTTTATGATAGATTTCTTACTAGTAACCTGTTACTGAACAGACAACTACTTGTGGTTATCTTCAGACTGATTCTCCAGTCCCACTTACAGATGTTGTGTTTTCCTACTTTATATTCTGAGTCTATGGAAATTGATACTGACATTTAATGCACTGTTGAGAAGATGAATTTTGAGCTATACTGTAAAGGAAAAATGGACACAAACATCTTTATATTTCTAAGGCTAGGCTAAAATACAATCAATTTATGATAATGAATGTCATTGCCAAATGGCATTGTAGGCTCTCTGTTTTCAAGTGATCTGGAAAAATATGTACACTGCCTTCTGCTCAAAGGGTAGACAACGTAATGGATGACTTCATAAATCAACTAGGGTTCATAACACCAACTTGATTGATGTCAAATTCTGCTTCCAGAGCAATGGGAGGTTTGCTTTTCTAAATAGGTATTTCTATATTATAAACTGACAGAATTCAAAAATAATTCTCAAGAAATAGCAGTTACTGTAATGTACAAACTAGGTTATCAAAATTGGCCAATGATATCCTCCAAAGATAGAGGCAGAATGAATGCCTTTGCTGATTGCATGACCAATCATCTTCTATCAATACTGATTATCCTGTGGTTTCCCTGACTTGTTTCAATTTGCTGTTTAGAGTAAAGTGGTAGCATTACAGTTATTCCATCACTCAGAAAAAGTTTTTTTTAAAAAGGTAAGAAAAATATATCTCTTATACTGAAGTCCATACCTGGATTTTAAAAATGAATTTTTATAAAATAATCTGTGTAGTTTTTCCATTCCTGATAAGAAGTAGCTTACTGTTTGTCTCTTAAATAAATCAGTCACTATTTTAAAAGCCTTCAAGGTATACTTATGGGGTTTTCTCCAATCTGTATTTTTCTACTAAATGTTTAAAGAAGCTGTTTATTTCCTTATATACCCCAAAGCTGGTATTGAAAAATATCATCTGAAATAAATTTGCAGGGTCATTTCAATATTGAAATTTTGAAAGCATTCTTACAGAAGGAGGCTGAGGAGGAGGAAAAAGTACTTGGTTTTGTTTTGTTATTAAATAACCACAAACACTCCTCTTGTGTGCTTACAATTTAAATGTAGAGATGAGTACAATACAAGTTAGAATGTAATGAAGAAGAGAGCACCATTCCTGGAGACACAAACAGAAATAGGAGGCAAGGAGCTTTCTAGGAAAGGGGCATGTGGGCCAACCCCACCTTTTACCCTAGAGGCTAAAGCTGACTCCAAACCAAGAGTAGGTGGGCAAAGTTTGTCCTGAGCAGCAAAAAATCACCTGTCTCCCTGTCCCCCTTCTACCTCCCAGCCCCAGCCCCTAAGGTCTTCATGCTCCCCTGGGGCTCACCCCATGATCCAGACCTTTCCTAGATTAACCATCTTTTTCCATGCTTATCTATCTCAGGTGGCTAATGAACACATCCTTTGCTAATTTGATAATGAGTGTCATAGATTATCAGTTGGTCTGGGGTAATCTGCCAATCTTTTTTTTAAACTTTTATAGACTGTTTACTACCCAAGAATAAAGGAGGTATTTTCTAACAAAAAACAATGATACAACAAAACAAATGACTAAAACCAAAAGACCAAAAGAAATCAAAACCAATTCATTAAGGGGGATACAAAGGGCAATAATGAGATTTTAAAAGTGCCTAGGTCAACTACCAGTACTGTGCCCAACCCCCCTGTATTTCGCTTTAAGTTTCCTGATACTCAAAGCAACCAAGGAAACAGCTGCACACTTTGATTAATTTTAAGAAGATATGTGACAAGAGCACCTGGGTGGCTCAGTCGGTTAAGCCTCCGACTTCCGCTCAGGTCATTATCTTACGGCTCCTGGATTCAAGCCCTGCACTGGGCTCTGTGCTGACAGCTCAGAGCCTGGAGCCTACTTCGGATTCTGTCTCCCTCTCTCTCTGTCCCTCCCTCACTCATACTCTGTCTCTCTCTCTCTAAAAATAAATAAACATTAAAAAAAGGAAGATAGTGACTGAGAAATACCATATAACCTCTTAAGTGCCTTAGTTTCCCCATTGATAAAATGGGGGATATAATAATATCTAACTGTTTATCTTATATAGCTCTTGTGAGGGCTAAATAAACTAATATATTCACAGTGTTTAGAACAGTGAAGACACAGAGTAATTGATACAGGTGTTGGTATTATTAGTTCATCATCATAGATGAATTTTCTTGTCCCTAAACACTGAAAAAAAAAAAAAGAGTTATAGGGACAATACAAATATAGTACATAATATTCCTGGTACTAATTTTCCCCAAAACATAGATATGCTCCACAAGTAGTTATTTCTTAGATTAAATCTATATAGCCATGGGCTACAGTTTAAAATATTTAATGATTTCTATTAATTTTCTATTAATTTCTATTCAATTTTTTCTATTAATTTCCAGAAATTCTCTCCTTGTTGGATAAGAGGGCTTCTACTGCATGTCTTTATTACAGATGAAGCAACTGATACTTGGACAGGTAAAGTAGCACTTAGTTAGCTCTCCTCCTGATCTCTAACTAAAGGACAGAGAAAAGAAATGGGTAGAGCTTAAAAACTAGAAAGGAACAGCAAATCTGGGTAGTAGGCTGCTGGGAGGCTTTAGCACTTGGGAGTGTAAGGAAAGTGGCTCCAAAAAGTGGGGCAGACATTCAAGAAGAAGACGGTAGAATTTTCACTTGATCAAGGACTGATCCTACCTCAGGCTAAGAAGAAAAGGAGTGATATCAGACACTTAGATCAAGGGATCCATGGAAATATGAGTAGGGGTAAAAAAACTGAGGAGGGTTAATTTACTGAAGAAGAACCACTCTTTCCAGAAGTAGTCAGCTCTTGCAAAGAACACAGTAAACTAGATATTTCTGTTTTTTAGTTGTTCAAAATGTGAAGAAGGAGTAAGACACAGATCAGGTTCATGGTCTGAACAATTAACTACTGAGACTTGAGAGCCATTCAGAATGTGAGACTCCTAAAAGGGTATCAGTGGATATCCATGGAGATGTATTCACCCATTTACACAGAAGAGTGATTTCCAGTCAATGGAGTCATGGCTGTGATGTCCTGGGGTTTCTTCCAAGGTAGCCCATTTGAGTCAGAGGGGGAAAGGATCCCAGCATTGGAGCCCTCAGCTGCAAGGTCTCCTAGTGGGAACTCAGTCCAGGGATGAGCAGACTTTTGCCTTTCCACAGCAATATCTGAACTAATCATGGGAGGCAAAGGGACAACTTGGCCAAGAAAAGGCACCTGAGTTAGCAGGAAAGCAGCAGCAGAATACATTTAAGAAGAGATAGAAACAACAGAATTTTGTGGCGGTTTAGGACAGGAACAAAAGGATTTTTAAAAAAATAACCACTCTGTCCTTCTTCTGACTGCTTTCCTTTCTTTTGATAAGACTAAAAATGAATGGCTGATTTAGCCATTTGAAAGGCAGTGCCATAGGACCTGGGGGTGGCCACAAAGGAGAGGGAGTATGGTGCGGGTAACTTCTTGGGGTTTAATGGGCTTTGAAACCTCTTTGCGTGGCTGCCAAAGTTCCATCTTGCAAATAAGCATTTGCCTACTTTTCAAGACTAACAAAAATGAAGGAAGAGTAAAGTGGTTTTGAAAACTTAAACTTTCTCCCCACATTCACCCTACAGTGTTCTAATGCCAATGGCAATTAATTCAGCTGGAAGCCCCAAGCTGCTGCTTTTCTTCTCCCCCTCCCATTGGCACTCCTAGGCCCCCGATAATTTTGGAATGGGGAGGTCTGGATTTTAATGTATTGATGTAGGTATTTCCTCCCACAACTGCCGGTGCTTTATTTTTAAAAGAAATTAAATACATGACAGAGCCAAATTTAATGCAAGAGAATAGAAACCCAAAGACAACCCAAATACCTAGTATGAAAATTAATACCAAAATGACTCACTAAGAGTTCTCTTATATGTATATATGTACAACATTTTTTTTCTTCAAAGAACGGCAACGACATTCGGTAGAATTAGAGGTATAAGAACCGGAAGCAGCACAGGCCTTCACATACCCACATTTTCCTTTGACATGGCGTCATCTGAACAAACATTTTCGAAAGAGCATTTTAAAATAGGTTTCCTAGAAAAAGGATTTGACAGAATTAGTTTCAAAAGATTAATCACGTATATTTAAATGGCCATTTATGTATATTCATTGATCATTGTAAATTATGAATATATTTCTTTATCTTGAGGTAATTTTCCTTGGTTTTTTAATACAGTAAGGCAGCATGATGCAGTGAAAAACCAAAGGGGAATAATATTGATCTGAGCCCTCACTAGGTGAAAAGCACTAATGATCTACCAAGTACCTTACATAGGCTTTTTTATGTAATTCTCACCCCGAAAACCTACTAAGTAATTGCTGCTCTCATTTTATAAAGAAACTGAGGCTCTGCAAAATTGAGAAATTTGACAATGTAGGTAATAGTTGAACATGACAGGGCTAAATTCTTTCAGACTGCAAAATCCATCTTTTTCCACTACCTGTGTCACTGGTTTAGAGTTAGAAAACATTTGTTCAAATGTATTTTCTCTAACCATAAGATCTTGAGAAAGCCACTTAATTTCTCTAAGTCATAAAGTTTTCATCTTTTAAATAGAGATGATTATAACATACCCCCTACCTATTTGATGAGGTTACTGTGAAATATAACTAAGATAAGGCAGTAAGTCTTTTTAAAAAAAGGTAATTACTCATCCTCTGAAAAAGGACAAAGAATAAGAGGAGGACTATCATATCAGAGCCAGTATTTGTCTTTGAGCAGGACTACTCTTAATACAGCACTAATTATCATTCATCAAAAAAATAAACTGTATGGTTGGTTCAGTGATAAACACTAAAACTTGTCATTGGTGGCTTATCAATTCATTATAAAGGCCTGTTTCTGGTTTGCACTATTTTAAACTAAACACCTGCTTCGCATATGGTTGCTCACATGATATTAATCTTATACTGTTCTGGTTCAACATATTTATATAAACATAAAGCTTTCTCCATACTTCTAAGACTATTACTTATCACCTTAATTCTTTTAGAAAATTTTAATGCTTCCCTAGAGAAAAAGAATCAAGAATCAGGGGTAAATGTCATAATAATTAAATCTATTACACACACTTCAATTTCATCACAATACTTTTCAATTAAAAAAAACCCATACCTTATCCTTCTTCTAAATTTTGGTTTCTTTTTGCCAGTAGTGTTTCTGGAAACTTGCATCTATAAAATAACAACAAAAGGATGAATTAGTTCAAATGAGACTAGATGAGTTCAGTAAGATAATGAGTCCAAATGGCCCAAGTAATTTAGTCCAGAAGAAAAACTCTGACCTGTAGGTCTCAACCACACCTATAACTCTAAGTCAACCACCTCATAGTCACTACAATTACACCAATCTTCTCAACTTCCAGGAATGGTAGATCAATCCAATATGAATTCCCATCTCCCATATCTACTTCCCTTCCTCACTTCACAGACACATAATAATACAAAGTAAAACAATCTTTACATTTTTATACATACATGACCTTTAAAAAAGAAAGAACTATTCAGATGCCAGAAACATGTGGAATGCAAAACTATAGATAGGAACTGATATGGTGAAGGCCTACCAAAAGTGTATACCAGGATAGGGCCAAAGGGCTTGGGATTTTAATGTCTAAGCAAAGACGAGATGAAGGATGTGGAGAAATTGGAACCTCCCTACATTGTTGAAGGGAAGGTGAAATGGTGGAGCCACCCTGGAATATAACTTGATAGTTCTTCAAGATGCTAAATGTAGAACTGCTATGTGATTCAGCAATTCCATTCCTAGGTATGTACCGAAAAGAAACAAAACTATTATGTCCATACAAGAAAATGTATATAAATGTTCACAACATAATTATTCATAATAGTCAAAAAGTAGAAACAACTATCAATGGAGAGATGATATGTGATCTATCCATACAATGGAATATTATTTAACCTTTAAAAACAATGACTAATTATACTGAAAAATACTAAACATGGGTGAATCTTGAAACCATTTTGCTCAGCAAAAAGTGAAAAAAGTCAGAACCAAAGACCACATGTTGTAGGATTCCATTTATCCAAAATGTCCATAAATAGGCAAATCCATAGAGACAGAGAGAGATTAGTAGTTTCCAGGGACTAGGAAAAGGTGGGAAATGGGCAGTGACTGCCAATGGGTATGAGGTTTTCTTTTAGGGTGATGAAAAAATGTTCTAAAATTATAAAGTGGTCTTGGTTGCAAAACTGTGATTATACTAAAAACCACTGAATTGTATACTTAAAAAGAGTGACTAAATTACATCTCAATAAAGGTATAATTTTTTCAAAAACTTGGTGACATGGAAAAATGGAAAGTAAAGAGATAGAATATATCAATGACTAGCAAAAGGAACCCAATGTAGCAATATTACTGTTAGAAGAAAGCATAATCAGAGATTAAAAAAAAAAGCTATTACCTAATGCAAAAAGAAACAATCCACCTAGAAAGTATAACAGTTCTGACCTGTCTATACATAAAATCTTAGCCTTAAAATACATAAAGCAAAACAGAAAAGAATTACAAGTAGAAACTGATAAATTTACAGTTAAAATGGGATATTTTTATTTACTTCCCATAAAAAACTTATAAAGCAAAAAAATTAGCAAAGAAACAGGAGAATTCAACAATACAAATAATAAGTTGAATCTAATAAACACATATAGAAACTGGCACTGAATAATTAAAGAATACATATTGTTTTCAAGCTTGAAACATTTACAAATTTGACCACCTCCTGGTCACAAAGGAAGCCTCAAAAATAGTAACCGCTGTTTTAGAGCCATACTCACTGACTAAAATGCATTAAGAAATCAAACCCCAAAAGATAAGTGAATAAAATTTGTAATCAATTCATAGATGTAGAAGAATTTATACTGTCCCATAAACCTTTCTGTCATAAGAGTTATGATCTATGTCATTTAGGTCAGAGTTCTTGTCTCATATTTTAGTTACTGGTATATGTGACTTAGCTTCTCACTTGGTAGTACATTTGTCTCCATGCCATACCCTGCATGCCATAGGTGCAGATAAAGTGTTCGTGGAACAAATGAATGAGTAAGTGTTCAGACAGAGATACAATAAACACAAATATCACAAGGAGAATACAGTGTCAGTGTTCCCGTCCATTCTGAACTGTCCTGTTTGTCGATTTAGGCTTTTAACGAATTCGTACGATTCACCCTCATTTCCGAAGACAGAACCTCAATGCCACTTTCACCTCTATGTTTGTTACCTTCTTTTATTTGTCTTTTCACTTTTACCTGCTAAAATGAGCAGTGTCTCAGCCCATTTTGTCTAAATCTTTCATAGTTACACTGATCTTAATTTTACTGATCTTGAATTAAGTATCCACACTGCAAGGGTGGGATGTTTTTTTTTCTAACATACTAAATGTTTAGCAGCTAGCAGAGTGCCATTCATATTGCTATGTTCAAACCCATTAACCAAAATGAGATGAAGGTTGAATTTAATAACTCTCAAACATTATTAAATAGCTTAAATACCTTAATAATCATTCAAGGGAAGTTTGTAAAAAAACACTCAGGGAATTCATATTATTATGATGCCAAAAAAATAGGTGTTTTTTTTTGTGATCTTCAACCTCAAGTTAATATTCAAATATTTTTTCCACCATTTGTTTTATATATATATGAAAATAAATAAGGTAAAAAGGTATATGGAACTCCATTGTCTAAATCATTGATCTACATCTCTATAAAGACAATGTACAGCTATTATTTTTAACTCATTATTAAGGATCAGCTTAAAGTATGTGCATATTTGAGTTTAAAGTGAAAGCGTTGCTACAAGGGGAAATAAGATTAAGGTAACAAAGTACAAACTATTTCATAGGTATTAATAGAAAGAAATACTGTTAAATAGCTACCATAAATCAGGAAGATTTCTGTTAGAGATAATAAATTCCTTCCTACTTTGTTAAATATTCCACAGCAGCCAAAATGAACTAGTCAGTATCACCAAATGTCCTGTGCTTTCCTGCTCCAGGGCTTTGATAAAATATGACGTGATGGAGAAGAACACTAAATTTGGAATGACAGGATCATGATTTGAATTTAATCCCTGGTACTTATTACCTGTATCACTTTTGGTAAGTCACTGACCACTGGAATATCTAGCAAGAGCCTGGTATGAAGTCAACACTTAACAAATATTTCCCAACTAAATGGCTATTCTGCATTTCAGGATATTCTTTTACAACTACTGCTTAAATAAATAAATAAATAAATAAATAAATAAATAAATAACTACCTCAGAGCATTTAGGGGTAAGATGAAATTAAATACCATGCCAGAAAGTATCTAACCGTACTCAACAATTAGTCTACGTTTGATCATTGTTTGTTTAACCTATTAGACTGCTCCACTGGATTAGTGTCAGAATTCTATCCTTTTTCCTTAAAGCATTTGACAAATGGAACTTATTAGCACTTTGGTATGGTTGGACTTATGGTCCATTCATTCCCCAAGGTTGCCATAACAAATTACCATGAACTTGGTAAAGCATCAGAAATTGATTTTGTTATAGGGCTGTAGGATAGAAGTATGTCTCTTATGGACAGACTCTTTTGTGTGTGTGTGTTTGAAAAAAAACGTTTATTTATTTTGAGAGAGAGAGAGAGAGAGAGAGAGAGAGCGAGAGAATGAGGAGGGGAGGGGCAGAGAGAGAGATAGAGAATCCCAAGCAAGCTCCACACTGTCAACACAGAGCCCAATATGGAGTTTGATCCCACGAATCAGGAGATCATGACTTGAACTGAAATCAACAGTCAGATGCATAACTGACGGAGCCACCCAGGTGCCCCTGGACAGACCCTTAAGGACAATTTCGTTGGGTTAGGATCCACCTAATTCAGGATGATTTCATATAAAAATCCTTACCTTAATTACATCTGCAATGATCCTTATTCCAAATAAGGTCACATTCTGAGGTTCCTGGTACTTTTGGGGGCTGCTATTCACCCACAAGTAGATACTATGATCTTTATCTATTCCACCCCTTCCACTTCTCTTCCTGTGTTACACTGCTGATTCTCCTATGTCGTCGAGCCCCAGGCTATTCAGAATCAGGACCACCATGTGAAAATCAGCAACAACTGAGAGTTTGTTAGACATGCAAATTCTTATGTCCATCCTAGGCCTACTGTGGGGTCCAGAAATCCATATTTAAATAAGCTATTCAGATGACTTGTATGCAAACTGGAGTTTTTCAGGCATTAGTCTATCTAGCCCACACCCATCCATACAAATATGTTATATATTGTCATTGATTATACGGAAACCAAAGCAAGTATTAATTCTTTTCTTGTTAGATCTAAAAAAAAACAAGAGACATACATAAAGAGGGCAAATGCCATTTACTGCGAAAAAACGTGTGTGTGTGTGTGTGTGTGTGTGTGTGTGTGTGTACATATATATCATGATAATTAGGATTACTGGCTTGAATTGCAAGTGATAGAAGTGCCTCTAATTGCCAAGATCAGATAATCCATAGGAATTGTGTTTACATCAGATTTATATAATCTTCATAAAGTGACTTGACATTGTCCATTTCCTTAAATCACTATTCATCTAAATGAAAATCATTTTATTTTTAAGAAGAACAAGTTTGTTAGCTGTGTTAAATCTGAGGACATAAAATTTTGATTCAGCATTTTATGCTCATAGAAGACATAAACATGTTTTGTAACCTTCCATTGAGAGTAATTATCAGTCAATGATCACTAAAGAGATGCTTACTTTGACAGAATTTCCAAACATGAATCTGTGCCTTGAATAATGTACACAAACTCCTTGTCAAAAGTTATCATATAGAAGGAAATGCCAATATTCTCATTTCCCTTTGGAAAATCTACTGGGAAAGTATGCTTGGAATAAGGATGAAAACCAGTTTTATGCAGCATTGTAAGTGGTGGTTATTACTTAATCTGAGTATCTGGAGAGTACAAATAATAAAGTTAAGTCTTCGGACCTAGATAATGATTGTTTTTCAATCTTCTTTGAAAAGGGGGAAAGTTAAATAATCATTTTATGGCTCTATTTTAAACATGATTTTAATAGAATACAAATCTAGTGCTTCTTACATAAATGTCAGTCAATTACCATATGCTCCAGTCCAGTCACTCTCACTAGAGTTCAGTATTCCTGCA